CTCGAACATTGAATTCGCATTCTGTGTTAGGAGCGTTTTGCAAGGTGCTTCAAATCATCGCACTGGAATACGTATAGTCCGAGTATGCACGAGAGGTTAGAAATCTTCTTCAAGAGAGAAAGCACTGAATTTTAACGAACACTAATGTACACTGGAAAAAAAATCTTGTTGGATTATGAAGAATTCTTGAAGATTCCACCAGTATGTCCGTTCGAAAAGGGACGAAACAGAATTTTCGTCGGAATTACCAGAGGATCATGTTTCAATCTACCAGAATTTCTCATTAACCTTACTAAATTCCTTTAGTTGGTTAAGGGCCAATTTTGCCAACTTCTGGTAGATTTATCCGTCAGTTACTTATTAATAAATATCAGTAATCCTTACTCGGTATTTCAATCGTCGAACAAGGATGGTAGAAGTTGGAACAACTAGCCCTTAACTAACTAAAGGAATTTAGTAAGGTTAACAAGTTTCACTTACCGTAAAACACACTTCACTCTACCGATAAACACTCCGCGTCCCACTCGGGTGATCGCGAAAGGTTAAGAATGTAACCAATATTTCGTTAAGGATTCAACGACGCGACGTAATCTTTCTGTGCTGATGCACAAAGGATCTAATGTGCGAGTAGCGAAGGCGCAGTAAAATAGTATAACAAATGAATGCGGCGAACAGTTGATCAACCGTTCATTGAGCGATGACGAAACTGTTGCAGAGCGCTGTGATTAACGTAACAAGAAGTTTTGTAGATCCAACAAAAAAATACTAAATCAGATCCTTATAGTAAAGTCTACCAAACGGTGTAGTTATAAAATATAAAATCCTGTTATGATTACCAGAAATTCTGCTTTGTTTAACAAAAATTCGTTCTACCAGAAGCGTTTTATTAATATAATCAGAACATTTTTTTGAGCGTAATAATATTAAAATATCCTCTTGTACGCAATAAGCGTCTTATACACACAATAAGTGTCATTTGAGTGAATGAAAATAATTTTATCCGTATATGTTGAGTGCAATTTATATTTATGATGTGCGGCGCTCTATATTTTTTTATGAAGCGGCATGCATTTTATTAGCACAAGCGATAAAGACATGCTCTTGTTTACGCGAAATAAAGTGCACTTACAGAAAATACGATGCGTTCTCATCACGAAAGTATTCCTAAAGAAAACGTAAACATTCCCATATTCTTTATCGGTGTCGTAGATAAGAAGGAATGTTTGTTTGATAGAATGCTTTTTTGTTACAACCGCAACTTTTCGATTTATCACGCGACAGCGGCCTGTATATATGTTGCTTTATCGTACGTTGTGTGTTAATTTGTATAAATAATCCGTATTCCGTCTTGAAAAAATATGTTTCGTTCTCGTCCGCGGGAATAAGATTGAGGGTGGCCGCTGTCGAATGCAAATAAAGACGAATAAAGGATAGTGTCTGCGTGCGCCGCACGTGAAATCCTTCCGCGGGGAGTAGCTCTGATGTATGAGACATTATGTTTATGAATCATGATAAAGAGTGCTTGTAAACGTCCAAATTACGCGCGCGCTGCACTTTAACGCGTTCTATCGTTCCGGAGTGCACGTTATTATGCGTGCATCGAATATTTATGTTGAAATTTAACCACATATAATACCACCGTTTATCGGAAATTTATTACGCATGCTATAGCAACCCGTGTTCGTCGTTTTTCAGTTGTAAATGTGTCACTTTCTGCTTTGCGTCGTGCGCAGTAACTGTACTTTGAAATCAAGTTATCGTTAGAAGTGTCGTTAAAACAAAAATGTACCACAAAAACATGGTTATCATTTGGTCGTATATTCGATAATGTATGCATTTGATAAAAGCGTCCTTTAATTAATTTGCGTATAATATTTATTTATGTGTATTGTGTTTTCAGTTTCTTCATATGCGAGATAAACTCCTTCTGATTTCAACTGCATTCTATCGCATTCTCTTTCTCTCTCTCTTGCTTTCTCATTGCTATTCACTGTTCTGCGATGTTTCTCGAGAACAATGTACTCTATCGAGCTCTCGAGTAAAAGCGATCTAAGCAATCTTCCGGACTTGGCGCGCCTTCCGTTTCTGCAAAATTTCGTGCGCAAATCCGTAACCTGGTCATTTAATAGGTTTATTCAACCGCGTCGTTTCCTCTTATCTTATCCTCGATGGTTATCTCTCTCGCTGAATCGATATCTGGGAGGGCTTTGATGTCCCATTGATATCCATCTTGTACGAAGAAACTTTCGAATGTCACGAGCAAACAGGCGCATTAAATAAAGATTGCAAAATGAATATATGAAGATAAATATGACTGTAATTATATGATGGAAATACTTCATAATAATCAATATCCATAAATTCTGTTTGAAGCACAAAGATAACGCAGCGCGGTGAACGTGTAATTTCAAGTTTGTATATAATTAATATAAAAATCACATAATTTTATATATACGCGACGTAGCATTTTACAATTTTTTAGTAATAAACGAGCAACGAAGACGAAGAATGTCACGCGTGCTGTGCATAATAGAGCAGCGGTTCCATTTCATCATCATTGCGAATGATCACGTTTCACACTGGATGTTTCATCAGCGAAGATTCTTATGTGTACCAAGCTCTTATGCAAATTGCACATGCGGCGGTTCTTATGTATGCACGCATGCACAGATACACGTCTCACAGAGACCAATCGACGTGTTATCCTTTGCGGCTTGTGTGAGCGGCGACATGTGTTTCCTGTGTGCGTCAACCCTGCGGCGCCATATCTCGTATCCGGAAAGGGGAATATCGGCGCGATATCGGCGTACACAAATTCTCATAGAGTCGACCTGCATACATATCGACGCTTTGGCAGCGCCGCGTGGCTGGAACAGCAACGGCGTGCATCTATGTGGCAGCGTACATATATGCAATCTTGAGCGATGTCCTGGGCGACGCCGCACCACTCTCTTCCGAATGTCCAATTTAGAAATTTATGGGACACCCGACTCGCGCTCTTAACACACTGCTACACGCGTCTCGCATTTCAATATGTCGCTACGTCAGTTGCTTTTCGACGAAGATATTTGCTTTTCCGTCGCAATATTCTTAATAGACAGTCTGACGAAATTATTTATCGATCTTCGCTGATTTGCATGCAACAATAACGACTGAATCTTTTCTCGTTGTTAAATTAGAAATAGAGCTTAATTTTGTTGGTCGCAATTGACTTGGACTTTTGTCTGCGCTTTATTCCTTTCGATCATTATTTATTTATACTTATTTATACGAATCGCCGTAATTTGTCCGGAAAAAGTTCTCGATTTGTACGGAGTTCTTTTTAAAGTGTAGGAGTAACGTATTTATAATTTAACTTAATTGCATACCATGTCTACAATACAAGTTTTATAATTACGCCGCGATTCAAATTTCAAAGAAAAAGTCGGTTTCCAATTTGTCAAAGAATAAAGCGCCTAAAATTTAATGGACAGCTGCAGCTTCCTCAGTGAGCGATATACATTTACTAGCCGCGTGTGGAATTTTGTTTAGAGCGTCGGATGAAAGCAAAGAATTAATATTCCGCGCGCTTTGAGAAATATCAGTTATTATCTACCATTCCGACGACATGTACAATACGTCACCGATCTCGCGGTGTTTTTATGATGGACATTCGCAGTTTAGCGATTAGTTTCTCGAGCATCTCTCGAAATTCATATGGAAACTTGTAATTATTTTCGACGTCAGTACCGCACAAAACCTCTTCATTAAAGGGTTTTCTGGAAAGGATAATTAAAAGTTTCACGAGAAGCTTTGGAGCGGGCAAAGTGCGACGGGGCATTCAAATTTCTCTGCGTTCCTCGTCATTATGCTGGCCTTTTTATTTACCATATTAAAAGTAACTATTTGACTAATATGGAAGAATAAAATATATGTAGAATAATAATTTGCCAATTATTTCAAAAAATAATGCGATAATCACGAGACGCTATCTGCACAATTGAAAAATACAACAATGCAGAAAATGTGGCTTAGATATGTAGTATCGTCAAGTTTCATCACTGCGCTGCTTTTAAAGATGATAAAACTCAATAGCGTAATATTTCTCGATAAATATGCACAGCGTGTGACAGGATGACGGCATATATTTTGTAATATTTTCCTTCGTCAAGTGCCCGTATTTTCGGAATATCGGTGTTACATTCGTGTCTTGCCTAAATGCCGACTGCATAGACGCTTTGTACGTTTACGTTTTCACGTCTCACGAGACTCGTTACGCGACAAGAGCCCGCATTCCGGACAACCAGTAAGAATGGCCACTTAATTAAGGTGGACTTTAATTAAATTAAATTCTTTAATTAAGTTACTTCAGTTAAAGAGAATAAATCTTATCGCGATATAAGCACTAATATAAATTACTTAATTCCACGTAGGGCGACAGTCTCTTTTGCAGCTTCCGCGCAATGCTAATTGTATTCTTGTAATTAGTTTGCGTTTTAAACTACTAGATAGAAGGCTTCTACTAGCTTTGTGTGACGAGAGCCGTGCTACATTATACTATAAATTCACTGTTCTGACAATATTATTTTCAGACGCACATGTAATTTGTCTTAAAACGCGCAGAATAAGCACTGTATTATTTTTTTCATAAATATAACAAGTTGACGAATTTATAGATTCCTTTTCTTTGCAAAAATTGACCGTTTGATCGCAGATGTACCTTTTATAATAAGGTATTTTTCTGTTACTCGGGCCACAAAGCAATACAAGAAAACAATGAAATTTAAAAATTCCTTTTGATTAATTAGATGTAAGTTTAAATTAAAATTCCGCATTGATTATAAAAATGGCTACGCGGGATGTAGATATTGTGGTGCTGAAATTATAATAATGAAATTTTCATGTTGTAATTGCGGTGATGGTAAAAGTATCATAAAGATAGCGAGCTTTGTGAATAATTAACTGCGTGTACATACGTACTGTAACTAATTTTACTAATACTAACCTTTTTCTCTTTCCAGACATGTCCTACAAGCCGCGTCATCCCGTTATCGAGGGTAAGTATTTTCAATCATAATACATGCAGTACTAATGGTATGCCAATCTAAATCGGGGAAAGCTTCTCATCCGTTTGAAGCTCGGCACATAGCGCTTTGTACAAACGCACACTATGATAATATTGATTTTCCAAACGAATAGCACGGTCTATGTCAATTTCGCGCGGTCTTTTAGGCGATTCATAACTTTTGATTAATGCTAGTATTAATCGGTTACAATACGCCGCTCTTAAATCACAAAGTATTGTATCCGTAAGAATGTAAGCGTCGTTAAATAAAATTAGTACATTGCACACATGTATGACGTGTTTAACTTGAAATCGATTTGTATCGACAATTGGGTTAAGCGCGCGCGTGTGGGAGATACATAAAATCGACAATTTCCACTTTGTCGGCGATGCGCGCGCGCGCGCTATCGTACACAGAATTCATCGATATGCCGTTCGCACTGAGCTGAGTTGCCGGCGAAATCGCAGATTTAGATAGCTCGACACGCGACGTTTCGGGACGTGTTATTCCGAAGAATAACCCGACGGGAATGCGGGCCGAGTGGTGCCTTTCAAACGACTGGCGGCACGGCTCAATTACATGAAACGCGCGGTGGCCGCGCGTACCGTGAAATTGCGTTATCGCCGCCAAAACGATCGCGATAGCACGCGTGTTTTGCGCTCGCGTTCCGCAACGCCGTCCGCGGCTGATTTTTAAAGATATATATATATATATATATATATATATTCCGCTGCCGCGCACCGCGCGCGTCTTTTAATGACATTCGCCTCGTTATTTCGTACGAGTAATTATAATCTCGTCCGTGAAAATTGTTAGAGAAACAATTTCTATGCAATTAGAGCAATAATTACAGTGTGTTTTCGAATAGAATGTAAAGATGATTTTTAGCATTATACCGAACACAATATCTCTTGATACAAATTTAATTGCGCATTGTGTCATATCCGAAACTATGGTGTGCTTTCCAATTAGCGACAAAAGAGTACACAAAAGTATTATTCTCTTTCTGTTGCTCATTGGATATCGAACAAAGACAGAATGAACTCGTGTCGATTGTGTCCTTTGCTGGAAAGCGGCCATATTATGAAATACTTTGGGCACATTGTGCAATATTTTTCGGTGCTTTCTGATGCTAAAAATTACTCATTGTTCATTCTTTTCTAATTCCGCTGTCCTCTTATTTGTGAGGTTATAAAAAATGTCCGCGACGAAATAATGACCGTCTAGATATCAAAATTGCCTATGGCGGCTTACTTTCAAATCACTTCTTTTCTTCTCTCTCTCTCTCGTCTTTTTTTCGTACGCTCGCACGATATGTACACACGCGCGTATTTGGATAAAATACAAATACAAACAGTCCTTAGTAAAACATAACACACTTGAAAATTTCTCGCTCGCTACCGATGTTTCTGTTGGTGCTCGCGTTTCCCGCGGCGATGTACGTGCATCGCATATACAGATATTGACACAGTCTATTTGGTATTTCTGAGCTCACCTCCCCGCCTTATTTTTCACAGTCACAGCCGAAGTAATCCCCGAGTGGGCGCGACTTCCCCCCGGCGACGTTCTCCAAACACAAAATCGCCCATCAAAACTCGGGTATTGGGCCGTTTCGCGATTATTTACATTCGAATATATCTTTCCATCCCGAATCTTGTTGCGTATCTCGCTTTACTCTTTTTTTCTCTGTCTCTCTTTCTCTCTATTTTTTATCAGGATTGCTAGAATTCAAACTGTTCTCGTTACTGCGGCCGCAGAAAGGTTACCTTTCTTATACTGTGCCTGCTCTCATTACCGTGTCTACTCTTGTTACTGTTGACTGCTCTCGTTAGCGAGATATATGACAGCATGTAGACTCGCACTTTCGGACAAATTCCAAATTTGGCGAATAATAATAATAAAAAAATGCAAATATATATGTAAAAAAAAATAATAAATATGGAAAAATATATTCAAGAGCAAACAAAGGAGGGATGTAAAGGGGGAAAAATATGCATAAATTTTACGAGGATCGAACCACTGCTATCTTCAGTAATTACAGTTGTTTGTTGATGGACGCATTAATTAATGGCAAGTTTAACGCGAAATAACGAACGAGATGGGAGATTTTCACGCTATGTTATTGCTGTGTGATCGTCATATTTCGTGGCAAGTTCTTGTTTTGTGTAACTTCGTGCACTTATAATATAGATGCAATATGCACATACAGAATCAATAATATCTTAATATGTAAAGTTGCGCTAAATTTTGATAATTTGGGGAGGACACATTATATCTAAATTTCATGCTTATTGGTAAAAAATGCTACAAGACAAACTCATGAGAAACTCAAGAGAAACACATTTTTATTGATTTATTTACGAATTACTGTTAATATTTTAGCTTTACATTTAATTTCTCACGTATGTTAGATATTAAACTGTCAAATACCATCTCGAATTATGATTCACAAACTAGACACGATGTGTTCGCCTTGTCGAACTTTGATTTCATGTGTTAAAGCATTATTGATTTCCAGTATACGTGTACAATCGTCTCCAATTTAGGCGAAAGCGGCACATGAATTTCAAATCAAGTTATAAAGCATTTTCCTAACAAATAAGAAAATTTAGCCTTTATTAAATTTTTTAAAAATATTAAATTATTAAAAAGTAATTTTGACATAATCATGATTGATTGCTGCCATATAGAGTGTATGTCTATCTAACAGATACAATAAAAAAATACGTAATTGATTATTCAAACTACCAAAGTTTATTTGATTTTTCTTTTGCGAGTTTTTTCATTTCCGGAGGTTTGATAATTAGCTTTCAGATTAAATTTTAATTAGAGCAAAGCTTACTTTAAGCATGTTAAAAAATTTGTTTATGCTCTTTAATTACATTCTTTCAAGTTTATTGTTGTTTTTTAATATGTTTGATGTTTCAAACATTTTTCCATATTTTGCAAGATTATTATTAAGAAAAATACAATAGAAGAAATAATTAAATGAAACAAGAACATTACTTTTTCATTCATTTGATGAAAATTTTCATTTAAATACAATTCTTTCTAGTTAATCGTATAATTATTATTGCTTTGCAGATTGTTATGTAATAATCTAGGAAACTTTAACAACAATTTAATTTTTAATAATTGTTTCTAATAAAATTTGAATACTCTCTACTGCAATTAATTTATTTGACATAAAACACGTATCAGTATTTCTAAATATATAATTAGTCGCAAATGCGTAGCGAATTCATGTTTATTCATACGCAGGCAATCTGCTTATGGTGTTCTTTAAAGATACTACATCCGACTTTTTCGGTGCTGAACGGAATTCGCCAGATGTATACTTTACGAGCTCTTGTATTATTCGTATTTTTATACCGCGTGAAGCAATATGTGCACAGATCTACTTATGTGATGTCTGTAAGATAGTCACAGCGACGTAAAGCTCGAAAATTGATTATAACGACGACAATGTGCTATATTCATGCATATCTAGTTCACATTAATATCGAAATTATCTGCAAAAAATAGTGAAGAAATATAACCTTATTGAAACTCGTGTAAACAATCGATCAAACTTTGTGTGCTTTACAACAATATGTATGCCTTCACATTAATTAACTATTTAAAAAATTTTGTTTCAAGCACACAATGTTTGAGGCACTTTAGATTAACCCAAATTAATGCTGAATTAATACTGAAGTTTCTCGTCATATTCACTCAATAATGGTATGACCAATAGGAGTATTAATTTAATCGAATGTATTTAATGGCTGTTTCGCGGATTCTCCACATATTCGCTCGCATATCGAAAATGCACGTATGTGCAGCAGACTGCACGTCAGGGGATATACGTTACATATTATATGTAGAGCAAAATTCTGCGCAAACAGACAAGTGATGCGTACGTGAGCGACTTGATGTGCTCACGTAGTTATGTATTCGTACATTATGTGAACTATATATGTCAGGTATTTGACGTAAAAATAACTTGGGCTTTGTCTCTTTACGAAGCAGGACTGGTTTATTGAAAAATAACTGGCCTTTGTCTTTTTACGAAGCAGGACTGGTTATTGAATTTGCGTAGAATTATTTACATTACACAGAGAAATTTGCAACTGCATTAAAAAAAATTGTTAGTGATTTTGATATTAAAGTAAATATTTTCTTCTTCAATTGAATATTTAGTCTGACTCTCTTATTAAAGTTGCAAGCAGATTTCGCTGATAATTCATGGAATATTTTATCTCTCAGATATATACAATATATTAGAGTTACTTCAACGCTGACACAAGGCCGCGGTGGAAACGCGTTTATTTCGGGGCATTTTCGAATGTGATGCTTTTGAGAGCCACTGTCCCGTCGAAATCCAGTTCGCAGTAGCGGGTCGATGCGATTTGAAACTGAAACCGTCGCGGTCTAAAGGGATAGAGGTGAGGACCAGATAGCTTTCATTCGCTAAAAGGCCACCGCCATTGTGCTATCTCCCGAGAATATACCCGGGGAAACGATACGCGATGGCTGCGTTTTGACCACTCGATTTACCAGTAACGGAATGACGCCTCTGTGTACACTCGAGTGTAACGCCGCTGCTGCACGACCGTCAAACTGCCCGGCCAATCGATTATGTAACGGCCAAACTGAGTAAATGGTTTTCACAAAAAATATACACGTTCTTAAAAGCGCGCGTGAGCAGCGTCGGGGCTTGTTAATCGGCTATCGCGTCGTATTTTCGCGAAATCGTTTATCTGTATCCATTTTGCGTCCACCATTTCGTTAATTTGCCATCAATTTCACTGATATTGTGGATACTTCATAGCTTTTCGCAAGGAGATAATTTATCAGCATTTAATCACAATCAGATGATATTATGAACATCGAAACGAGACGGCACGATATAGTGTATCTGTACGCGCGTTGCCGGATTATTGATTACGTCAGTATCTAATTACAATTCTATGTAGAATAGAATACGGTTGTGTCGAAATATGCAAGGA